ACCAAATATTAGAAAAAATATATGTATATAGAAATCTATATCTATCACTTTAGGTGATGCAAACAACTCTTTGGTGAACAAAACTATACTATGTTGCAACATGTTGCGAAAGTATAATTGCGTCAGAATTCAACATTCATTACTCGATTATTATTTGGTATCTTATTAACTTATGTTATTGATCATAGATTTATTTTGTGTCAATTCTATTTTTTCTCCGAAATGTTAACTTTTGTAAAAGATCGGAATTCATTATATGGAAGTATGAGGTTTAGACTTAGTATGTATATTTCATTCAATTCAGCGTCAAACCATATAATTTTAAGTAATCTTTCCACTTAATTTCGTTAAAATATCACGTTGATCAACCGGAACGGTGTAAAGTCAGGTGGAAAGGGGGAAATCATATATATATTGGGGATAGAGAAATATATTAATTTTGACATTGCTCAGCATACTCGAGAACATCATATCAAGCAATTTTATGTAAACAAGTAAGGAAGGGCTAAGTTCGGATGAACCGAACATTTTATACTCTCGCAAAGTCAAATGGTATACTCGTTGAGATTTCTTTGTGGATTGACTGATATTTTCGTAGAAGGTCAACTATAGGCACTGGGGTCCACATATTTAGTACTTAGGGGCTTGAACATTTTTGGTTGATTTAGACAATTTTTGGCCACAGAGTGGCATACTTTAATTGCATTATTCACGCAAAGTTTTACCCGATATAATCATGTTACCTGATTTGCATATGGAAAGTGAAAGAATCAGATGGAAATTGCAAATGGTGCTTACATGGGAAGTAAGCGTGGTTGTAGATCTCTCTTAATAGACAAATTGAAAACCAAAGGCAGTCTTAACGAATCCGATTAAAGAGAGAAAATAATGTTATAGAAATTGATAATAGTGGCAATTTACAAGTTTCAAAAACTTTTATTTCCAAAATATAATGAAGGGCCCTACTGAAGTATGTGTTTGCTGTGGCGGCTTATGGTTTTCACACCAAGTTCGCAAATTAAATTTCGAAACTATTGCGCAAGGTCACCCGAATGCTGCATCCGCCTTCTTTTTAATCCAAAAATTTCCTTCAGAAGATGGAAATTACAATTTTTGTGCTACTTGCAAAAATGCGATTGTTAAAAGAACGTTCCAAAAATATGTTTCGCTAACGGTCTAGACTTTCCTGAAATACCGGATTGTTTGAAAGGTTTAACCCCAATTGAAGAACATCTCATAATGCCTAGATTGCCTTTTATGACAATCCGTCCGTTGGGATATCAAGGTCAGAGTTTGCGCAAAGGTGCTGTTGTTAATATATCTCTACCAAGGTCCTTTGATGAGGCTCATGTTATACAAATTCACTTAAGAAGGCGTTAATAATATTCAAGCGAACTCGCGGATTATTTTCTTAGTATTTCATATTACAACGACAACAAATTCATTCATAAGGAACGTGCGTCTGCTTTAAAGTAAAGTGCGTTCGTTCATAACTCTGCGCCGCGCTATTTTTTCTGTGCGCCTGGTAAGCCACATTTGGTTTTCATATAGAATTCCTACGCAAATGCGAAATTAAGTTTATAAAAATAATGAAGGAATGAAATTGAATTTGAATGGTTTCAGTAAAACGAGAAAAATTCAATTTTATAATTTGTTTCACTGAAAATCCTACCATTCCCCTCGCCTTTGTATGTTGGCCACAAGCTGCTTCCTCACAACATTTGCTAAAAATCAGAAATTGAAGAATTTGTCTGATGTTCCCTTCAGAAAGGAGAATTGGCAACATGATCTATTAGCGAGTTAAAATAATATTTTAATTTTTTTCATATTATGCACTATTTAAGGCATTAAATTATAAAATTTATATAAAATTGCCATTCATATGAAATCATTAACTACTTCTATATATTCTAAGCACACTGCATATAGTACTTTTATATGTTTACTTATTATCATTATTTCATAGTTTGTCGATTTAGCCCATTTTATCTAAATACGACGCTATGAAAATGCAGCCCAATCGGTAATCGCAATATTTCAAAAGAGCATAAGTCAACTTTCAATACAAACCACTGCAAAAGAGACAAACGAGACAACATAGCCGATCGACATTGTCACAAAATTATCGATTGAAACAAATTTTGTCAACTCCGCCACGAGGCGCAAAATTCGGCGTTAATATGTATGCGAGCTCATATGTATATATGTATGTTTGTCGACAAAGTCGTCATTTGGGTTTTTTCAATAACACGATGTCCGCGCGAACTCGCCGTTATTTCGTTGGCTTGCCACCATGCACAGAGGCGTGTCAAGTGAAGGCTCATAATATATTAATATGTTGCTTAATTTGTATTGAAAAATACTGATGCATTTATGAATTATTTTCGTAATATAATATATATTATATATATATATATAAATACACATAAACTCATACCTATAATCGTTTTTAAACTAAATTCGATAAATAAAATATATATCCGAAATAATTATGTGGCAGTGCGCCCCAATCCCTCCTTGCCTTCAATCGTTCAACTCGCAAAAAGCGTAGACAAAAGTCATCGCTTGTGCGGGGCAAGAAGAAGCAAGCATCAGCGTACGTGTATTTAAGAATGTATGTGTGTAAATTGCTCACGCAACGCACATACATAAGTTGGAAAAATTGCCTATTAAATGTTTATTTTATTATGAATTCTGGGGTTTTCACCGGTAATACAGATTTTGAATTCAGAAGGTTTTTTATAATTATAAATTTGTCATATCATAGAAATTGAAAACAAGGTAAAATAAGGTAAATAGGTATGCGCAACGATTTTTCATTTAGGAATATTCTTTGTGTCTATTTAAAGCATTTCGCACATTGCGTGGTGTATTTTTCTTTTTCGAAGTTATATTTTTCGATGTTCCCTCATGTGGAATTACAAATTAGTACTCAAAAAGATTTCAATTAACATTATAGACATTAAACAAATGTTAAAATCTCCAACAATTAGCTCATTTTGATTGCATAACTCAGAACTAAGGACTTCCTGAAGTTCTACAATTAAATGTCTGACAGAGAAAGCTAAATTTCTATATGGAATATTAATATTGAAACATTTAATCAAAACCGCTTCTAAAACTTTGCGGCCTGACTAAATTTTCTTTACAGCCTTTGATTCAATAGAGCTAGCAATACTATGCTTTGCATATATTATAATGCTCCGTTTATTTCTGTTGCTTGTTTCCGTGCTATCTATCCTCAGCTCGGTAATTGGAGCAAGTCCTGGTATATCGAAACTTTTGCAAGGATAACTCCAAGTTTCTACAAAACATAAATTATCTGAAGATAGCATCAAACAGTCGCTTTTTATATCATTAATGCGTGAAGACTCTGAGCGTGAAGACTCTGAACGTTATGGAATAAAATTTGACGTCCTGATGTTCTTGAAATCATAAAACTGAAATTTGTTGTCAGAGCTTTATTTGTGTTCAATTCCCTCAGTTTCTTAAATACAGGATCCCATTCAGAAAATTAAACGAGGAATAAAATTTTCTATGATGAATAGACCTTCTGCGGTAGTAGCTCGACTGCAAGCGACATATATTGAAGCTCTAGGCATTCTGGGTTGAGTATGAACTACAACTTTATTATATGTGACACCCTAATTTTTATGAATAGTTATTCCCTCAGCCGGACCGGTAAACATATTTCTTTGAATTGAAATTTGTTCTTTTTGTTTATATTGAAAATATTTTAGAACATTTTCAATTGGTATCCAGGAATTTTCTAGAGCCGTATATATCGGCCAATATGTGAGTTTATTTTATGAATTTGAGCGAAAGTGGTTTTCTACTAAAAGTGTATCTTTGTTTTTAAAATGGACGAAATCGGGTGAAAACATACCTTATCCCTCATATAACAGATATTCAGGATTTTGTAACGACTGGCTGACTTTATTCCATATAAGTATGTTGGCGAGTGAGGTATCTTAAACAAACACAGAAAGCTTTCTCTTCTGTTAATAATGTGTGGTATTGCGAAAATTATATAACATCAGGTCAACTCTTATCTTCCATATATCTAATATTAAGTTTTTAAACTTTCGGTTGGCTTTTTAACGTATACTTCGGTCAAAATGTAAGATATCTTTGTTAATTTAACTAAACGTGTATTATTGGATAAACCATACTATAGTTTAATGCCGAAAATATGTGAATTCAGTCTACGAATTAACCCAACTCCCATATAATACATCTAATGAAATTAGTGAACTATAATCCTTGTAATCCTTTCAGCACCTTAAAGTATTTCGTCAGCAAGTTGCGAGAGTAAAAGATATTCGGTTTCACCCGAACTTAGCCCTTCCTGACTTATTTGTTATAAAGTTTGCCAACTGAAATTATTTCCCTGGCGTATATCTTTGCAAACCGCGAGAGTAAAATGTTCGGTTACACACGAAATTAGTTCTTCCTTACCTGTTTTTACTGTCATTACTAAGTATATACTAGAGAACAATTCTCCATAGATACGTGCTCTTAGCTTTTTAATTAAAGGCAGTATAGCGGGTAATAAAAAATATGAAAAATCGGTTGTATGGGAGATATATGTTATAGTTGTCCGATCTGACCGATTCCGACAAATGAAATGACAAAATGCACCTTTGTATTAAATTACTTTCGGATATCTCAAAAACTGAAAAACAAATTTTTACAATCCTAAACTTCGCATAAAAAATCCCTGGCTCGTATATGGTCTGATCCTGTGCGGTGCATTGGTGTGCAAGTATTGTACTATGTAGAGTGGTGCGCTGATGTGGTGACGATTTGAATTACGAGGGAGAGGGTTAAGCTCATTTAGACATATTATGTTTTTCATAATTTTTTTTTTTTGTAAAAATGAAATAATATTGCAATTACGTGAAGCTTTTTCGCTATCTCACGTATTTAGTATTCTGTTGAAAAATAAATACAAATTATATACATTCATATCCGTTTTGTATTCCGATCTCTTTCCACAGTTTGATACAATGGAGAATGGAATTCAGGTTTCTAAATTAATGCAAATATTTTCCAAACAAGCAAGTATGATAGACGCCCTCATCTCATATTTTACTGAACAAATTCGAAAACTTCAAGTGAGTGGAAACACGTGCGATCAATATCATGCAGGTAAATTTCATAATATTCTTTCTATTATGTATGCATTTATTTTACTTTCATATTTGATAGCATATTCATTTATAAGTAATCGACTTGCATTTTTTTTTTATTTGTCAAGTTTTTATTTACGTTTTTTAAAAATGAATGCTTGGAATACTGAATAGAGAGTTTGGGTAGTGCAGCGGTACAATGCTTTGCAGTCCGTCATTTCCGTCCAAAGGGAATTCAGACGGGATTTTAACGGCACACTCCGAGTAGATGGACCATTATGAGGTTGGTAAGCATGTTTGCCGAATCTGGATGTATCATAATGACTTAAGCCTGTTTCCGTACAAAGTTCAAATAAAAAGCCGGTAAAACCCTCTAGATTTGCCTATTCGCCTGAAATTTTGCCAAAAATTATTGAAATGGCCGAAGAAGACAATAACTTGATAAATTGCCTGTTAATATCTGATGAGGCCCATCTTGGTCTAAACGAAAATGTAAACAAGCAAAATTGCCGTAGAAATATTCAACGAGACATAATTTCACCCAGAACGAGTCCCTGTGTGGTGCACACTTTCATTAAGGTGTATTGTCGCCCGACATACTTTTTTGAAGAAAACAGTGTAACAGTAACTGTCAATGGGCACCGTTATTTAAAGATGTTGAATGAGTTTTTTACGCAGAACGCCGAAAACGTATCGCTTTCAATAGCGTTTGGTTGCAGCAAGATGGAGCAACTGCACACATAGTCAGACCGGTTATTGCGGAGATACAGCAATAATTTGAAAACAAATTAAAATCAAGAAACTCCACTTTCCGCTGGCCCCAAGGTCTCCTGATCTGACTGCACTAGACTTTTGTGGGGTTATGTCAAGCCAGAGGTATACAAAACAGAACCCAGAAATCTGACTGAACTAAAGCAGTCCAATAAACCCATAATTGAGGCGATCCCGACTTCAATCCTTCAGGCCGCAAAGAATTATTTTCTAATTAGGTGTCGTATATGCGTGGCTGAGCATGGAGGTTAGTTACATTTCATAATTTTTAAACTCAATTAATTATATAAAATAAAATAAGTTTTCTATATAATAAACAAGTAAGGAAGGGCTAAGTTCGGATGTAACCGAACATTTTATACTCTCGCAAAGTCAAATGGTATACTCGTTTGAGATTTCTTTGTGGATTGACTGATATTTTCGGTAGAAGGTCAACTATAGGCACTGGGGTCCACATATTTAGTACTTAGGGGTTTGAACAGTTTTGGTTCGATTTAGACAATTTTTGGCCGCAGGGTGGCATACTTAAATTGCATTATTCACGCAAAGTTTTACCCCGATATAGTCATTGTTACCTGATTTGCATAGTGGAAAGTGAAAGAATCAGATGGCATTGAAAATGGTGTTACATGGGAAGTAAGCGTGATTGTAGTTCGATTTCGCCCATTTTCGCACTACGACATAGAAACATGAAAAGAACGATATGCACCGAATTTGGTTGAAATCGGTTGAGCAGATCTCAAGATATGAGTTTTCACCTAAAAGTGGGCTGTGCCACGCCCACTGACTAATTTTGAACGCGGTTCCTATAAAGCCAATTTATACCATCTCAGAGATAAGATTTAATGTCTCTGGCGTGTTTAGTGCTTGATTTATCGCGCTTTTAGTAGTTTTTAACAGTACCGTTATATGGGGAGTGGGCGGGGTTGCCACCCGATTTCAACTATTTTCACACCGTCAATAGAAGTGCTAAAAACATTTGCTTCTAGTGAATTTTGTTATTATAGCATTAGCGGTTTAGGAGATATGCACATTAAACCTATTAGAGGCGGGACCACGCCCACTTTTAAAAAAAAAGTTTTAACTGCAGATGCCTCTCCGTAATGTGATCCTGTGTACCAAATAGCAGTCTTGTATCTTATTGCGGAGCTTAGTTATGGCAAGTTATTTGTTTTTGATTAACGGCGTTTTGTGGGCGTGGCAGTGGTCCGATTACGCCCATCTGCAATACCAACCGTCTCACGGTACCAAGAAACATGTCTACCAAGTTTCATAAAGATATCTCAATTTTTACTCAAGTTAGAGCTTGCACGGACGGACGGACGGACAGACAGTCACCCGGATTTCAACTCGTCTCTTCATCCTGATCATTTATATATATATAACCCTATATCTAACTCGATTAATTTTAGGTGATACAAACAACCGTTAGTTGAACAAAACTATTATACTCTGTAGCAACAGGTTGCGAGAGTATAAAAACAAATAAATTTAATGTATTGATTATTAAATTATTTAGGTTTGCATTTGTAGCACGATTCGTGAGCCACCCTGTACAATAAGTCATATACTCACTTAGTTTCATTGCCACATTTTTTTCATGTCGAGATATTTGTATTTAAATAAATCTAACTAAAACAAATCCCTATATTCCTCATATAAGTTCTAATATAAATGCCATAAAGTCAACCAGAAAGAGCCCTAATCATTGTATTTTCTTTTGTGATTAGCTAGGGGCTATGAGATCTTTATATTTAGAATATTTTGGTTCGATTTCAGTAATTTTTCGCTAACACTTCATGAACTAATCGTTGTCGGTCCACACCCATTATCCATTTTTATACCAATTCATATGTGCCCTTTCGTACCACATATAGTATAAGATGTTTTACTTCCGACGTTTTTTTTTAAAGAGTCAAGGCACTTTAAGTATTGTACTTTTTTGTCGCATGGCAGATGTCATATTTCAGGTTTCCTGATGCTGTTCCCTTTATGGCTTACAACATCGACGACAACTGAAATTTTTTTCTTAAAATTGAGTGCGTCAGCCCGTACATTTGACCAGCGGTACTCACCCATAGCATACTTGTATGTTTGGCGTTTGTACTCTAAAAATGTAAATGCAAAGCAATGATTTTTAAGTATACTGGGCTACCAGTAAGTGTGACAGATTAAGTGGACATACAACATTGGATATATTATACAATAATATAGTATATATGTATATATAGATATAGTTTAATGTCGAAAATGTGTGAAATATGTAGGTTTCCAAATGTACTCAACTTCCATATACTACAGATAATCAGCCTTATTATAAACTTCGTGTGAATAAATCAATCCCATGTACTTTTATTTTCCTGTGAACAAAAATTCGCATCTCGAATTTCGTGTGAAATGTTTGTAATTTCTATTATGCTATTGTGAACTTCGGTAACCTGTCACATATGTTTTTGTTTTAATTTAGTGGCATGAAAACAATCGTTTCAAACTTCTAAAGCCAATTATGCAATTGTTTAAGCTTAAAAGCGTAGTTTTAATTTTAATTATGTGTTTATCGTACATATCTTTTTTGTTTTAATCGGTTTTAGGTGTATAAATTATGCAGGTTATAATTTCCGGATGTATTGGTATATTTGAAGGAATAATGAATGTGAAAAAAAAACTTTTTGAATGGATATTGGCATTGGGTAGCAACTTGAGAACCGATGATTCCCTTTATACAGTCTAAAATCGATTTCGATGATGGCCCCTAGATATTGAAAGAATCATGTAACTTCATTCAAAATCCACATACCTTCTCCTTGTTTTTTTTTGTTTTTAAATCCTTTCCTACATCAGGATTTTCGGCCCTCGTGTTGACCAAAAACGGCAACTGTATTTTGTTAATAGGCCTTAGTACAAATAAAAAAGTTTTTAAAATCAAGTAAATTGTTATGCATGTTTTATTGGTAATTGTTCCCCACTATTAATTTTGTGAACGAATTTCATGTATTCACATGCAAAAAATTACATCTACGATTAGGGAACATTTTCGATTGTGGGATATTTTTCCCATGTGAGGTGCACGATGAGAAAAACACAAATTTGTGATTTTTTCCATTGGAATTGGCGTTCACACGAAGTTTGCAATAAGACTGAATGATTCTCGTTATTCTAGCTAGGAAAAGGTATTGTCCGAATTCAATACCTTTTGGGTAAGAGTAGGCATATCTTAGAAGAGTAATTTGTACGAAGATTTATTTTGATAACATCATTGGTGCTTGCTTTATATAACGTAAATTGATTATCTGATCGAATTTGAAATTGTGTTATATAGGAAGTAAACATGGCTGTAGTCTGATTTCGCCCATTTTCATAATATAACAAAAATATGAGGATAATCTTATATGCTTAATTTGATGAAAATTGTTAAATTAGTTCCTTATTATTTCATAAAAAAATTGATGGTATAAATTGAATGTTTCTGACGTATTTCTTTAGTGAGTTGTCGAACTTTTACTAGTTGGACGTGGTTACATTTCGATTGTACCCATTTTCACACTAAATGATAAGGCGCTAGAAGAAGGGAACTTAGAAAAACGAAAAGGTGCAGGTTCGACAGCGAATTTTTGTAAAATTTTATCAAGGAGTTCACCTCACACGCAGGAGAAACAAATAACATTTCTCGCTTTTATAACAGCGGTGAATCTGTACACATACACTTTTCTAACATAACCAACCGGCGAATATTGAAGAGAATATAATATGTATGCCAAACTGGGAATATTGATATGACATTTGAAATATATTCCCTTTTATTGAACTATTCTTTATTATTTTTTAAATATGAGAAATATATCAAAATACTTTTAAATGATTACTAATAAAGTATTTTGATATATTTCTTAAAATAATTCATGTACTTGACATCGTTATGGAGTCATAAAAGTACAGAATTGTGTTTTGCCGTCGATAATTTCATATCATGTGTACATGTAAAGAAATATGAAAGAAAAATATTTGTAAATTTGTCTATAAACAACATATGTATGTATGTAGATATGTACACTCATTACTTCATGTGAAATCTCCGTTGATCGAAGCTCACGTTTTTTGCTTTTATGTCAAAGAGTCAATCTGTCGAAGGACTGACGCGACGACAAAGCGTCACAACATTGTGTTGTTGGTAGAAAATCCGAGATGTGTCGAAAAATAAACGAACGCTCGCCGATTGTCACCGCTTCCCTTGCCGCTCTAACAGCTTTGTCAACAAATCATCGTAAATATGTATGTTTATATATGAGCATGCATACATATTGACTCAGATTTTTGCGAGTCACGGAAAAATATTTTAGAATTGTAAAATATTATAAATCAACAAAAGCTTTGTTGCCACTTTTGTCAGTTTTTTCTGTGTTTTGTGGTCGGGGAGATGTGTAAGGCGTTTGCTTTATGAATGAAACGACTTAGCTTTTTGCATGGGTGCCAGCGTTCATGAATGAAAATGTTATTGTTGTTGTGTGATTTACTACAAATGTAGGATTTATCAATTTGGCTGCCATATTGATTTCTAACGCTGCTCATGCTATTTGAGAGAATTGTTGTTTTTGTATAACAATGTTTGTATTTTTCTAAGCATATATACATATGTATATATGTGGATTTGCGTATTACTTATTTTGCATTGTCATACGCATATTTGTACATACATACTTGCATATAGAGCAGTGCGCGCACATGTATTTATTAAGAAGTGATAATATATTATTATATTATTGTATATACAATAATATAACATATTGATGTACATATGTACATACATAAATTATTAATTCTGTAACAATTAAATCTAGGAAATTATGAAAATAATAAAATATCATTTTTTGCATAATCTTCCACATTTTATCAATGTAGCATTCGTACAAAAAAATCATATTATATTATCAATTTTTCATCATAAAAATCGTTTATATGGCAAAAAATAATCATGCATATGTGAAGCATTTGTATTTTTTGTTCAAAGTATTTAATTTTTCTCTTTATGTTGGTAGATACGAATTTTGTCAGACAACGTTGTTATAAATTCTCATTTCTGTTAAATAACAGCAAATACTACAGAAAATGGTGAACTCCTTCATCTCAATTTTTCAGCTCTGTTAGCCAACCAATCGAGCATCATACAAAATTCAATTTGCACCTTCTCGTTCTTCTAAGTTCTCTAGTTGGTATAGTAGCTTCAATGGTTTAGGTGTTTTTCGCAATATGTTGCAAGAGTATAACTGTTTAATAGTGTGTCTCAGGCTTTAAAAAGGTCTCTAACTAGCTGGAATTGATTCCATAAGTTTTTTCGTTGTTTCCGATGGGATTTTGTTCAACTCCTCCAAATTAAAAATTTTTTATTGCTTCTGTTCTTGTCTATTTGTGTAGTTTTATCTTTATCTTTTATCTTGTTAATAACGGAATTGTAGGGCTACAAAGCTTTTTTTGTAGCCGCGCAAACATCGAAAAAGCGAAATATTTAAGCGAAGTTGTAACAGCGATAAAATACAAAGGGCCGAGTAATGATGCTATGTGTGGTCAGCTATTAGACTAACTTTATTCGCAAAATTCTTCTCTTTAAATAATATTATAAGCAATATTGCAATACCGTTCAATACATAATTTCCGCTAAGTACATAGTTTCGTTTTCTATGAGTGCATACATATAATATAATATATACATAAGTATGTATATTAGATTATTTAGATTAGATTAATTTTGAGGTATGCACCGTGACCTATGGTCTATTGTGCCCTCCCCTAAGTCATATCGTATCATCTAGGCCCAGCATGTTGATAAATTCCAAAATTCTGCTGGGTGCTAGTGAGGCGATACAATCCCTGTGTGGAAACACGGATCCCAGGGCCTTGATTCTGCGTCTGCAGACTGCTGTGCAGTTCATCAGCAGATGTTCAGTGGTTTCCGGCTCTATGTCGCCGAACCGGCAGTTTGCAGAAGAGGCTATACCCATGTTGAAGAGGTGCTTCTTGAGCCTGCAGTGGCCCGTGTAGAATGCTACCAGTAGCCGGAATTTGTTCCTTGGGAGATTAATTATGGCTTTGAACCGCTTGAGGTCGTAACCCCCATTAGCAGTCTGGCATGGTGCATGCCCTGGAGTTGGACCAACCGCTATGAATGGTTCCGGTCCTACCATTTTTGTAGAGGCTGCAGAGCGGGCCAACTTATCAGCTAGTTCGTTCCTAGCTATACCCCTATGGCCAGGCACCCAGATAAGGTGCACTCGGTTGTGCTCCGATAGGCTGTTCAGCCGTTCTATACACTCCAGCACTAGACGAGATCTGACCTCATAGGCAGAGATCGCTCTTAGTGCCGCCTGACTATCGCTGAGTATAGCAATACTCTTATTGTGTGTAGGGATAACACCGACTTATAGCATAGACCTCGGCTTGGAAAATTCTAGGGAAACTTCCCATGGGAATGGAGAGTTTGGTGCTTGGCCCAGCGACAGCTGCACCAATCCCCTCCTCCGTTTTCGACCCGTCGGTGTACCACTTGATAGTGCTTCCCCTTAGCAGCAGGTCCAGTGAAGAGTCATTCCACTCAAACTTGTTGCCAAGGGTAACTTGGAACTTTCTGCTGAAGTTTACTACTTTGGTAATGCTATCCCTTGGGAGAAGGGCTAGTGGTATTTCCTCACTTAGCTCTTTCATCTGCTGGGATGAGATTACCTTCCCTTTGCCAGCTCGCTCTGATGTCATTTGGAGCAGAGTTCGTTTGGCAGTCTGTTTGATTACCAGGTGTAGCGGTGAAAGTTCTAGCATGACTTCCAGTGCTGCGGTCGGACACGTTCGCATTGCTCCCGACGCGCAGATGCAGGCAAGTCTTTGCAGCTTCGACAGTTTAAGTCCTACCGAAGTCTGCGATGCTTTAGAAACCCACGATACCGCTCCATACGAGATAATCGGTCTCACGATCATGGTGTACATCCACCTGATTGTCCTTGGGGAGCACCCCCCAGGATTTTCCAGCAAGTCGGTTGCACACCATGGGTGCTTTTGTAGCTTTGTTTAGAGTCTGGTCCACGTGCCGATTCCATCGTAGAGTGGAATCCAGCGTGAGGCCCAGATACTTGACCGTGCTGGCCATCTCCACCACTCTGCCGTCCAGGAATATATTTCTGAGGAATGATTGTAGTTTTAGCGGGGTTGATGTTTAAGCCAACCCCACTACACCATCCCTTTGCCAGTCCCAGTCCCCTCTGACCGATATCGCAGAGTGTGTCTTCAAATTTTCCCCTAGCAATGTCATCCGCATATCCCTGATAGCGGATTCCATTGCTAGTCAGCCGCTCAAGGAGATCGTCCACAACTAGGCTCCAAAGTAGGGGGGTTAGCACTCCACCCTATGGGCAACCTCTTGTTGTGCCCAGACGAATTTTAGTGTCTCCTACTGCGGTTTCCGCCACCTTAGTGCGCAGTACGGCTGCAATCCATCTGCGCACTGGTGCTGCCACATTCCTTTTCTCCAGTGCTCTTGACACACTCTCATGAGACGTGTTGTCAAAGGCACCTTCGATGTCGAGGAAGGCGCATAGCATCACCTCGCCCCCATCTAACGAATTCTGGATCTCTGAGGTTAGCTGGTACAGAGCAGTGTTTGTTGACCTGCCTGCTCTGTAAGCATGTTGCTTCGCATGAAGCGGTGAAGCCTTCATCACCTTCGATCGTAGTTCGTGGTCTATGATCTTTTTCATACTCTTAAGACGGAAGGAAGTAAGACTGATTGGCCTGAATGATTTTGCCAATGAATATTCTTTCCTCCCTGCTTTGGGTATGAAGATCACCTTTGCAGTGCGCCATGGTTCTGGGATATATGCCAGCGCTAGGCAGTAGCACCTGCTCCCCCTGTTGCAGAAAAGCTGGAAGGATACCGCCCGCACCCGGGTACTTATATTTTTCAAAGAAGCCTCTATAATGGATTGGTTTAGGGCAGACAGTCTGCTCTCCAATCCAGAAGCCGTTGCGCTTCTATCCATACGCTTGGGAGGGAGTTGTTTGACCCCCATCCCCAGCACGAATCTTATGATACGGTGATCCGACATGTAGGGTTCCGATGATACTCTCCATTGTGAGATCAGCCCTATCTCAGACTCGTTACTGAGAGTAATGTCAAACACCTCCCTTCTGACACTAGTTACAAAGGTGGGTTCGCACCCCACGTTTGCTGTACTTAAATTCTTACTGGCTATAAACTCGATAAGAGACTCACCCCGTGTGTTGCAGTCCGTGCTGCCCCATTCGGTGTGGTGGGCATTGGCGTCGCAGCCCATGATGAGGGGCAGCTTATTCCGCCTGCAGTGCTCTACTAGGTTGCCGACTGCCTCTGGGGGTGCTGTCAGAGTCTCCCCCGGAAAATAGGCCGCTGCCACGACGAAGTCCGCTTCTTCGTCGTTCCTGGCTTGTACAGCCACCAGGTCCTGTGCTAGGAACTCTGAAATACAGAAAAAATCAATACCGTTCCTAAGTACAATGCAGGTTCAAGGTCTCTCATTTGAGAGATCCCAGATTACCTTATTTGACTCCATTTTGAGGCCCCTGACCTCTTCTTTATTGACCCATGGCTTCTGGATCAGTAGTATGCCCAGACCATCCATCGTAAACCTGCTCGCGATAACCGCCGAGGCTGACGCCGCATGGTGCAGGTTTACCTGGGCAACTTCTATTCGCGGCCTCACTACAGGATCGGCTCCATGAGGAACTGGTCCTCATTCTCACCGTCCTCCGCGATGTCTCCCGCCAGGTTCGCGAGCCCCTCCAGAAGCTCCTGAGTGGAGGGTAGTGCCCCCCCTTGCTCGCCCGTCTTCTCGGAAGGGACCTGCACCGATGTCTCGGCAGTTGCCGCCTGCGTCGACGTACTTGCGCAGGGATGAGTCGCAACCTCATCCACCTGCATTTTTCTTCCTGCATCGCCCTCGGTGATCGTTTTAGGCCTGAATGGCCTCAGGACCAGGCGGAAGCTCACCTTCCTGACGAATTTGTAAGATTCGTCATCTATGGAGAGGTTGAGCCTCCACCCTGAATCCTCCGCATTGCTGCTGGTCACCCGCCAGGCTGATGAATTAAGGCCATCGTTTTGATTGCGGATGAGCCCGAGAGCAAACTCGTATGGCTTGCCTGCGCATCTGGGGAGGAATACCGTCATGCTATGCATGGGCGGAATTTCGTTCCCCTTTTACGCGCAGAGGATGGGTCCATTCCAGCCTGCCAACTTGGGAGCGATCTCCCTCAGCCAACAAGCCGACCTTTCATCCTTGCAGTCAAACTGCAATATGCCTCCCTTAAAATACACCCCATGGAAGGAGGCTTTGTATCCAGACCCACTGAATACCTCCTCCATGAGCAAATCTTGGAGCTCCTCCGACCCCAGCACCTCCGCCGGGTAGTTCAGCGGCAGCACAGCCATTCGAATGCCTTTGAGGGCATCCGCATACTTGCGCTGTCCCTCCACTACCCGGGGATGATTTGGGGCGAAGCGGTGGCCACCAGTCGCCTGTGCAACGTTGCCCCTCTGCCACTTGGTGTTGGGCGCTTCACCGCTTGGGTGGTCGGGGGAGCTGCCCTTTCGCAACCTCGGCCTGCGGGCTGAACTGCGCTTGCTGGGCCGTGGCCTCGATTGCTGCCATTGCACTTCTTAATGGCCGCGGTATTACCACCCCTTTGGTTTCCTGAAGCCGGGGAAGTGCTGTCACCTCTCACCCTGTTCCGCGCTAGGTTTTCGGCTTCCTTCGGAGTTCTTCCTTCCTGGAGGTGCCTCAGGTACCACTTCAGGCTGGCACCACTCATACCCTTTCTTCTGAGATCGTCCTGTCCTCCCGGACATCCCGTTGGTGGCAGGGGGGTAGTCTGCCTCCCCTCTTCCTTCTTCGTTTGCGAGCCCCACCGGAGGTCGCCCGTTGCGACTCTTCTGCATCCGAGCAGTTGCTCCTGCTCAAGAGAGTCTCCGTGGGGTTCTCTTTTTCCTCAGCGGCCGCAGTTCAAGGCGCCTGCTGAACGCCGCTGCACGAGGGCATTGCATCATCGTCATCCCTGGTATGCTCCTCGAACAGCGCTCGCTCCTCTGGCGAAAGGGCGTCCAGGAAGCTGAACTTACGTTTAGCCCCTGATTCGCCCTTACCTGCACCGCTGCTTGTGTCGTTACCATTGTCCAAAGTCGTCTGCTGTTGTTGTTGCCAAGTTCCGTTTGTTGTTGTTGTGGTTTTGGTTTTTGTTGTTCCGTTGTTCATCTTGTTCGTAAGACCCTTGGCTCGACAAGGCGAGCCGTCGGGTCAGCTTTTGTTAAGGGGAACAGAGAGTTCGCCGCGCCAGAGGCCCTTGACGCGGTAAGGCCACCGTTACTTCGCAATGCGGCCCGGTGTTGGGAAGGCTCCGTTAGAATACAGCCGAATTTACCTCCTGGCTGCAAATCATCCAATGGGCACGGGAGTCGCATAACACCCTGGATTAGGAGGTGGCAGCTCTTGGTTGTCGCACTCATACGGCTCCTGACAACCAGTGTGAGGGTGCAAGCACCGCTCGCACCCGTTGGGAGATGCCGAGAATGCTTTGAGACTTAAGCCCCTGCACCACTTGTATAAAAAACAGTTCATAAAAGGAGAATAACCCAAGTACATACTTTACTCTATTGCTCCTTCGTATATATTGTGGTTATTAACAAAAGAGAAATATAAAAAAATGGGAACGCAGCATTACAAGAGGCTGCTTACATATTAACAGAGACTGTTAATGAATAGAGAAGGAGCAAATGTTAGCTGTACTGAAATGTTAATTACGATGAGGGAACATCGAAAACGCGCAAGTTCGAAAATAAAATGTCACCACACCTATCAATTTACGCAACGAACTACACCACTCTATAAGCAAAATGTATATACATACATATGCGCAGAAACAAAAATTAAAGTAATTAAAACAATAAAATGCAGAATAATTGACTTATGAAAAGAAAATGTAAATAATGGGGGAAATGATAATGAAAATATATTTGAAATATCATTTAATAAAAAAGGGTTATAAAAATAAAAAAAAGGGTATATAAATATATCCGATAGGATTTGAACTTAGGTAAAGTACTTCACGTTGCAATAAGGAAGCGTGCTATACAAGCAGCACCATAGACAATATTCAAACCACTTTGTTTAATGTGTGAACTCAAACAGCTATTGTTGTTTACTTGCTTCAAATGTTCATATATCTATGTATATGTAAATATTCTTGAAATTGCCTTCCTTCATTCGCATATCCAAATATATTTGCATATATGTACACATATGTACATATGTATGTCCCACAATATGTCTTTCGCAAAAAATCAAACATTAGCGCAAGTGACAAAAAAACGTAGACGTCATCATCGGCCAATAATATTCAAGCGAACTCGCGGCTTATTTTCTTAGTATTTCATATTACAACGACAACAATATCATTCATAAGAAACGTGCGTCTGCTTCAAAGCAAAGTGCGTTCGTTCATAACTCTGCGCCGCGCTATTTTTTCTGTGCGCCTGGTAAACCACATTTGGTTTTCATATAGAATTCCTACGCAAATGCGAAATTAAGTTTATAAAATTAATGAAGGAATGAAATTGAATTTGAATGGTTTCAGTAAAACGAGAAAAATTCAATTTTACAATTTGTATCACTGAAAATCCAACCATTCCCCTCGCATTTGTATGTTGGCCACAAGCTGCTTCCTCACAACATTTTATCTAAATACGACGCTATGAATATGCAGCCCAATATATATATATATACCAATAAATTCATACCTATAATCGTTTTCAAACTGAATTCGATAAATAAAATATATACCTGATATAATTATGTGGCAGTGCGCCCCTGACCCCTGCTTGCTTGTGATCGTTCAACTTGCTTCTCGCAAAAAGCAAAAAGTGTGGACAAAAGTCATTGCTTGTGCGGGGCAAGAAGAAGCAAGCATCAGCGTACGTGTACTTATGAATGTATGTGTGATATTCACATTTGAGTAAATACGCATAATAAGGGAATATGCAATAAACACAAACATATGAACATATTTTCCTGAAATATTTTAATTATCTCAGGAAGTAAAATATGCTATTAATGTAATTGAATTATGATATGCTGAGACTCCAATTAATAAAATAAAAATATTAAAATAAATTTAATTTACATGAGTTTTATGATTCGAACTTATATGCTCGTACTCGGATTGTGCTTAACCCCTTCCCGCTTACGACCTCAGCCACCATAAAAGTGGAAACGCGGCCGCTTAGCCATCGTTTTATTGTTATCCTTTGCTCAATAACCAATTGCTCACGCAAAGCACATACATAAGTTGGAAAAATTGCCTATTAAATGTTTATTATACCCTGAACAGGGTATATTAATTTTGCCACGAAGTTTGTAACACCCAGAAGGAAACGTCGGAGACCATATAAAGTATATATATAAATGATCACCGTGACGAGCTGAGTTGATTTAGCCATGTCCGTCTGTCTGTCCGTCCGTCTGTATATACGCGAACTAGTCCCTCAGTTTTTGAGATATCGATCTGAAATTTTGCACCTGTCCTTTTCTCACAAAGAAGCTGCTCATTTGCCGGAACCGCCGATATCGGATAACTATAGCATATAGCTGCCATGTAAACTGAACAATCGGAATCAAGTGTTTGTATGTAAAACTTTTTCATTTGACGAGGTATGTTCACGAAATTCGGCATGGGTTATTGCTAGAAGAAGTAATGCAATCTCCGAAGAAATTGTTCAGATCGGATCACTATAGCATATATCTGCCATACAAACTGAACGATCGGAATCAAGTGCTTGCATGGAAAACTTTTTCATTTGACGAGGTATGTTCACAATATTTGGCATGAGTTTTTGCTAGAAGAAGTAATGCAATCTCCGAAGAAATTGTTCAGATCGGATCACTATAGCATATATCTGCCATACAAACTGAACGATCGGAATCAAGTACTTGCATGGAAAACTTTTTCATTCGACGAGATATGTTCACAATATTTGGCATAAGTTTTTGCTAGAAGAAGTAATGCAATCTCCAAAGAAATTTTTCACATCGGATTACTATAGCATATAGCTGCCATATAAACGGAACGATCGGAATCAAGTTCTTGCATGGAAAAATTGTTCATTAGATAAAACATCTTCACGAAATCCGGCATTGATTTCTCTCAATGGCATATAGCTGCCATACAAACTGACAATCTAAATAAAGTTCTTATATGAAAAAAATTGTTTATGACAAGTTATCTTCACGAAATATGGCATGGATGATGATTGTCCAAGATATCGCTACAATTTTCGAACGAATTG